TACCAAGCAGTCCCTTAATGATCAAAAGATAATACAGGCTACACCTATAAATTAGCATCCATAAAACAATAAATTACTTATGCAACACATTTATGCAACACACTTTTCATTCCATACCTCCAGATTTTCTGCATGTCCTGGATGTTTTCTAAACAGGCCAATGAAGTCAAGAGATAGGTATTAATGGGAGGAAAGTGTCTTTTGTTTTGTTTTGTTTTGTTTTTTTAGAGCTGGTTCAACCAGAAAAAAAGGACACTCTTGTCACAAAACCCTTTTGGGGTGAGGGTCCTCAGGGGCCCAAAGAGTTTTTACAGGCAGGGAAAGGAAGAGCTTGTCAGAAAGGCTACACATTATATGGGGGTCTTTGTCATCTAGGATACCTGTCTCTCTTTTTTTTTTGGTCAGAGTATCATAATGGGCTTCCATCGCTAGCAACTAGTTGCTGTATTGTCTTAAATCAGACACATTTTAAAAAGCTCTGAGGGCCAGGGATTTAGACCAGTGGTGCTTAGCAAGCACAAGTTCCTGGGTTGTGAGCCAGTTACCACAGTACTCTATGATGATTAATGGCCCATGATGTCAAGAAGATTGCTGTCTGATGGGTGAGGCAGGGAACAAAACAATTACACAAAGCAAGAAAATTGACCACAGTAGTATACTGACAAAAACTGTAAGAGTGACAGACAATAACAACTAATTCTTGCCAAGAGTATTCAGTGGGAGGAGGAAAACTTCTATTGAATCTTCTAGAATAAATAAAGTTTCAACATGTGGTCAGATTACAAAATAAAATAGCAAAAACAGAGAACTTGGACTAAGAGAATCTGAGAAATAGTATGCAGAGAATGGCTAAGGATGGAGGGCACCACAGGAAATTGGATTCCAGTTTTTGTGTTTTTTTGTTTTTGTTTTTTTTTTTGAGACAGAGTCTCACTATGTAGTTGAGTCTGACCTGGAACTCACTATGTAGCCCAGGCTGGTCTTGAACTCACAGTGATCCTCCTGCCTCAGCCTCCCGAGGGCTGGGATTACAGGCGTGAGCCTCCACGCCCGGCTAGGATTCCAGTTTTTATGGTAAAGATTCCTGATTTCATGCTATGGGTTACAGACAGCTGAAACTCTGAGCAGGGGAATGACGTTCTCACTTATTAGTTTTAAAATATCATGCTGGCAACAATGTTTAGAATTGTATGAAAAGATGAAAAAGAGAAGCAACTTAAGACATGTATTTGTGAGCTTCTTTAAGGCAAGGACTTATTTTTCTTATTTTTCCATCCTCGGGGTCAAGTATTGCTCCTGGCACAAAATATGTTTTTAATAAACATTAACCATTATTACTATGGCTTCAATAGCACAGCATGTGAGTACAATACTGAATCCAGTACTATTAAAAGAGATTTCCTCCAGTGTGTAGAATTGGTCTGGACCACAGGAGCATTTCCCTTCCATTACGATTCCCCAGTTTAGTTTACGTTCACGTGTGTCTACACTTGCTTTATTTTCATTCAGCGTCAAAATAACAATGGTGCAGATAATGACAAAACATAGGGAAAAGTAACTGTTCTAAGATTCTCTTCATATATAAAATTTTAGAAATGATGTAGAAACTGAGAAGAAATGCAAATAATTTGAACATGGTAAAATTCCCACTACACAACTGAAGAAATTTAACGTTATCAATAGGGAGAAAATATTTGCAAACCATAAAGCTGACTAAAAGCAAATATCCCTTTTAGAGTATAAGGCTTGGTAAAGAGCTTGGGATCTGAAATCACATTAGCTGGGTTTGCAATTCTGTCTCATACTTTTGAGCCAATCTAGAGCCACATAGTTAAATTCTCAGTGCCCCAGTTTTCTCGTCTGTGAACTGGGGCTTGCAATAGCTATGAATTTAATTAGTATATAAGTTGCTGAAAAGTGTTTAGAATAATGATTAGTACATAATTAAATGTTAAATAAAGTTTAGCTTTTGAAAAATTCTTATCCTTACTGTGGCAGAGATTACTATACATTAACCAATATCTGTTCTGTCCTTATAGTAACAGAATCTTCAAACTGTAACTATGCAAATAACTGTCAAGGATAAATACTGCATCCTCAAGCCTTTTTTGCAGCCACAGATGAAGGTCTGGCCAGTGAGAAATGAGCAGAAGTTTCATGTGGTAGTTTATAAAAATCTTCCTTAAGAGATAACTGGACAACTACCAGATACTTAAAATTTTAAAGTATGACATTATTAAGAGTTTGTGAGGATACAAAACAATGGGAACTCTCCAACAATGATGTTGGGAATACAAATTCATACAATCACCTTGGAATACAGTTTGGCCTTTACTGAACAAATATAAAGATATGCATATTCAATGATCCAGAAATTTTCTTATATTTATACTCCAGAGATATATACATGTGTACCAGGATACATGTATAAGGACATTGATAGCAGCGTTATCTTTATTGCCAAAAATTATAATAATTCAAAGATTCATTATATTAGCTTTCTGTTACCAAAATTAAAAATATAGAAGTAAATCAATTTAAAACAAAGAAAGGTTTGTTTTGGACAGTTTTGGAGGTTTCAGTTCATGGCTGATTGGTGCACTTACTTTTGGGCCTGTAGCAAGGCAGCATATCACAGCAGGGAGAAAAATGGTGAAACAAAATTCATCCCCTCATGTCTGGGGCATATGAAGAAGAGGAAGAATCCTCAAATTACCCTGAAGGGCACGCTCCCACTAACCTAAGATTCTCTTCAGGCCCCATCTCTCAAATGTTCCATCACCACCCAATAGTGCCTGAGGCTGGGGACCAGTCCTTTAACACACAGGTCTTTGGGGAACATTTCAGATTCCAACTATAGTACTCATCAACAGACAAATGGATATATAAATTGAGGTATATTTATACAATAGAATAATATTCAACAATAAAATTGAGTTGGTAAATCTCTATCTACCTGTCACCATCTACTGAATAGAAGTGAGAACCAAAATAACATAAAGATTAAAAAACAGGCAAACTATGTCATTTGGAAATGCACACTTGGGTGGAACTCTTTAAAGAAAAGCAAGGCAATGATTACTATAAAGTCAGGATTATAGTAATCTCCAGAGCTGGAGAGAGACTTCCTCTAAGGAAAGTTGGGATTAGAAAAGGAAACATGGGCTTTGAATTTCTTGAAATATTTCTGGTTTTTTGTTTGTTTGTTTGCTTTGGTTTTTTGAGACAGGGTCTCACTATGTAGTTGAGACTGACCTGGAACTCACTATGTAGCCCAGGCTGGGCTCGAACTCACAGAGATCCTCCTGCCTCAGCCTTCCAAGTGCTGGAATTACAGGTGTGTGCCACCACTCCTGGCTGAAATGTTTCTTTATTGGAGTGGATGTTCTATGGGTGTTTCTCAAACAAAGGTTTTAAAACTATACATCACCTTGTGCACTTTTCTATATAAGCATTATATTTTACACTTTTAACTACAGATATATAAAGAAATATGAGTTATTTAGCCTCTCCTCTTTTTTCATTATTTCTTCCATACTGCTGCCTAAAATATAAATACAGTACTGCCACCAAAGACTATGAAAACAAGGATCACATTTGAAACTGTAAAATAATGAACTGGAAGGAAGATAGGTCCCTGAGGACTTTGTGGAGGAGACAAAGCTACTATATATCAGTCTTGTGCTTCTTACCTCAACTTCATTTACATGAAAAAGAAAAATTTTATATTGTTTTGGAATGACATTATTTATATAGCCAAAATCTGATTTTTTTGGGGGGGGGTAACCAGGGTCTGAACTCAGGACCTTGCACTTGTGAGGCAGTCGCAGCACCAATGAGCTAAGTCCCCGGCCCAGCCAAATCTGATTTTACCTAATATGCCTATATACAAGATTTTCAAAGATAATCAAGAAAAAATGTGTGATCTCATACACACACAAATATACATGTGTATTCACATGCATGTATATATAAATATATATGTATATATAGGCGATTCATGAAAGAAATCTAAACGACTCATGCACATCTAAAGTGTGTTTAATTTTAATAATAACCAGAGAATTGAAAATCAAAATGAGATAGTGTATTTTATGCATCAGACTGGCAAGTTTTTGAAGAGCAATATATCCAGGACTTGTGTATTCAGGAAAATGATTCTTCTTGACCTTGTTAATACAAATTGCTATACATTTTTGGAAAGTAAATGGGAAATAACCAGTAAATCTGAAATGCTCTTAAAACTTGAGCCGCATTTAAGAGCTATACCCAAGAATCTCATTGTGACATTATCTGTCAAGGTAAAATCCTGGAAACTAGCATTTCACACCTAGTACTTCAATAATCACCTGAAAGATACCTATGGGTTAGAAAAATAAATACGGCACCCTGGAAGGAGTTCAATGCCAGGAAGTTCATTGCCAAACTGTAATAATGAAGCCAAGAATTAAGAAATACAGAGAAAAGGACAGTTCTTCCTCATGAGATTTGTCTAATAACTTACATATTAGGGCATGGCTGTCAATCAAGGTATAAAATACACGTGTCTCTGTCCCAATTCAAACTTCCTGCTTCTCCTCAAAAGTTCTACCATGATCACCTAACCAGCCTCCTTCCTTTTGCGTTCCTCTTTCCCTGAATCCATTTGATTGCTAAATCCTCTCAGGTCGCCTCTGGAAAGCTTCTGCCTTTACCATCCCTCTGGTCCTATCACATTTGATTAGGACTAGATATAACATCGCAGCCATCAGTACCAAAAAGGCCTAGACTCTTTTGCCTGTTCTTTTCAATCCTTCACACTCAGCTCCTTCTGGCTTCCCATCTTCCCCACCATCACACGCTCCCTAGCGCTGCGAAGGGTTTTATGCAACTTTGAAGAACCTGGCAGAGACAGGCCCAGGAGCCCTGCTGTACCACTGCGGAATGACGGCCGGAACCTGAGGGGCGGTGCTTAGCCTCGGCCAATGGAAACGCTGTGTTTAGGGTCAGCGTGAGGTCATGCGGCCAGAAGGTGGAGACTTTTCCCCTCGACGAGGCTGTGGGAGGTTTTACCTCAGGTAAAAGCCTGAAAGAGGCTGGTGAGAGCTGGGAGGGAAGGCATTCTTAAACTGAGGGTAAGAAAGATCAGGAAGGGGCTAAAGTACGGCAGCTTGGACATTTCTGGAAAACGTATTTGTGAAGTCTGACTGATGCGGTCGTGTGAGGACGACCCCGAACCAGAGTCCATTTAACCTAGGCGAGAGTAGAGGGTGTGAAGGGCCCAGAGAAGCCCAGTAGGATTTTATCCCACCAACAGAAGTTGATGCTTTAAACAGCATAAGAAAAATCAGTGAACCTTGCCTCCTTTGCGATTTTACATGGCTAAAATGTGCTTCTTCTTCTTTTTTTTTTTTTTTTTAACGCAAGGTGGTGAGAAAGGGGAGGAAAGCTTCCCATACCTTAGAATGGTGAGAGGAGATGAGAAACCAGCCCCAAGAGTCGCACTCACCCCTGTGTGGTCTCAAGAAATATTGGGAAAGCTCAGTTTTCCAGCCTTGTGCCTAAGAACCTGTCCAAATGTATGAATTTCCATTTTGGCCAGATAGAGACCCAGCAAGAGGTGGCATAAAAGGAAATAAAAGCGAGTCAAGGCGGGGCAATGGGAAATCACTACAATTCATAAATTTATCGTATAAAAAATACTTTCCCTCTAAGCATGATTTTGCTTGTTTCCCCCATATCTCTGATTTTAGAAATATGGCCAATTTATCTTTTTTCCCATGCACCCACTAAGATGGGCTCAGATAAATCTCTGTAATTGAACGAAATATACTTTAAAAATGAATTCTAAGAATGTATGTAACGTATGTTATCTTAAGTACTACATATTTAGCTTGAATTTCAATGATTGACTTCATTACAAAAGTGACTTTTTTAAGGTTATGAGTGACAGTGATGAATCTGAAGCTTAGGTTTCATACGAAAGGAAAATATAAGATAAATGCTGACTGTAAACTGAATAGGTAACCTAATAGAGTTATGTTTGTTAATTTTTTGAAATGACTTCTCCAGTGAGACGCAATAAAATTTTTGAGAAAGTGTAACAAGAAATGAAAATTCTAGTATAAACTTATGCTTCAAAGATTAGCGATATACTATGGGGAAGAAGGCAGAGAGATGCAATGACGAAATATTTTCAGAAAAGTAATTACCAGTAAAAAAAAAAAAAAAGCCATGTTGACATTGTTTAATTAAAAGAGTGGCGGGCCGGGGATTTAGCTGAGTGGCACCACAGCTGCCTCACATGCACAAGGTCCTGAGTTCAATCCCCGGTACAAAAAACAAAACAAAACTGACAACACTATATATTGACACCACATTTGATGGTACCGCAGAATCTGATAATATTAAAGTTTATCAAGATAACTTACAGGGATGAGTTTAATTGAAAAGCTAATTGTAATATCCAAAAATTCCTACGAATCACCAATCAAATAAAATAAATATGTTCAGAATTATTTCAGAAGTTTGCTCTTGGTTTTTAAAATCCTAAGATTGTTAACTGAAAATAGAAGTAGAGTTGTAGCCCTGTAATATAAATGGTACCCTCAGGTCTTTTGGTTCAGTACCTTCACCACATATAGGGAAAGAGATAAACTTCAGACAAGTAATAGTGCAACTAAGGCAAGATAATTTGTATTAAAAATACATATTCAGGCTGGGAATTTAGCTCAGCGGTTCTCCCACCTGCCTTGCGAGAGCAAGGACCTGAGTTCGATTTCCGGTACAAAAAAATATTTCATTGAGTAAAATCTTACTAAACAAACTGCTATTTGGAAACACGTGGCTTACATTTTAATTCCCGAAGGTATTTTAAATGATGACTATTTGATAAACTGGACTCTGCCCTAAAGTAATTTATAAGTTGTAATTTCTTGTGTTCTCATATAAATGAAAGTTGGCTTGGACTAATTCAGCATTCTAAATTTTACTTCTTGTCTCATTCAGTGCATTTGTTCATATACCAATAATGACTTTTTTTTTTTTGGTATCAGAGATGGATCTCAGGACCTTGTGTTTGCAAGGCAGGAGGAAGAACCACTGAGCTGAATCCTTGGCCCCAGAAATGACCTTTTGACTTAATTGTTTTACCACACACCACAGTTGCTTTATTCCAAATGAGCTAGCTATTAGGGAATTCTAACTTTCAGCTTTTTATTTTCTAAATAAGAGAATGGAAATAATTTTCCAAATCCAACCTGAGTGCTTCAGTAGTTCTGTCCTTTGTTAGGTGTTTTCAAGACCACTTGAGAAAATCACTCTGCCCTCTTTGGAACTCTAGCCTCTTTTCCCACAAAATTAGTACATTAAATATATTTCATACCACCAATTAACATTTATATTGATTCAACAATATGAAAAATTACAATTTTATAGCAATACCCATTATTTTCTTTTCCTTTTGCACTGGAATTGAACTCAGGACCTTGCTTTTGCAAGGAAAGCGGCAGAACCACCAAGCTAAATCCCTGGCCTGCCATTATTTTCAGTTACGTTTAAAATCACAGTGATAAATGTTATTTTATACTTAACTTTCATCATTCAGAACCTTTTTTTTTTCTTTTTATTGAGTTTATTGGTACAATCTAGGTATACAATACAGTTACATTCATCATTGGGATCTTGTACCTTTACATAATAGGTCTTGATTCTCATTTTTTCCCCTTGTCCCTGCCCTCCCTTCACCCCTCCTCATCTCCCCATTTACAAACACTTTATTTGCATTTTTTCATTTTCTCCTACTTTTTTCTTTCCCTTATTACCTTTCTCCTACCCTTCCCACTTTCCCTACCCTTTAGCCCTTTACTTCCTATTTCACATTATTAATTATCTCATTAGGATCCTGTGTACTATTATAGTTTTTCCACACCAGAGAAACTATTTGGTATTTCAGTTAAAGAAATCTCTGTATGAACATTAAAAATAGGGAATCCTAAAATACAACTAAAAAGGAAAGTAAAAGAGAAAAGGCAATGATGTAAGATTAAAATAATCCTTAATTCTGAAGATGAAAATGGTCCCTTAACATATTTAAATTGCTTCTTACTCTTGTAGTCTTATCTTATTCTTTTTTTCATTATTTAGAGAATACTTTTTAGTTTCTGTAATCAAACCCACATAGATATGACCTTACATATTTAGTACAATGTGTTACCCCTGTACAAATGGAAAAATAAAAATAAAA